TACCATTTATATAAGTTTGGGATCAGTAAGATTTTTTAATACTTTTAAAAGAAGTCTCTTATGCTCAACAAGGCTGCATTTATATAATCAAAAATACAGTAATATTGTGAAATATTACAATTTAAAATATTTTTTAATTTGACAGAGCTGAATTTTCAGCATCATTACTCCAGTCTTCAGTGTCACATGATCCTTCAGAAATCATTCTAATAGGCTGATTTGCTGCTCAAGAAACATTTCTAATTATTATCAATGTTAAAAACAGTTGTGCTGCTTAATATTTTTGTTAAAACTGTGATACATTTATTTCAGGATTTTTTGATGAATAGAAAGAACAGCATATATTTGAAACAGAATTTTTTTGTTAATATCTTTACTTTCACTTTTGATCGTTCTAATGCATACTTGCTAAGGTAAAGTATAAATTTGTTGTTTTGAATAAAAAAAAAAAAACAGTAACTTTTAGTTTAGGATCCAATATGACCTAGTTGCTTAATAGCATGTCTATTGTAGCATGTTTATTAGTACTTATAAAGCACATAAATGCCATATTCTACTTCCCTTAATCCTATACCTAAACTTAACCTTACTAACTATTAATAAGCAGTAATTAGGAGTTTATTGAGGCAAAAGTCGTAGTTAATAGTTAGTTAATAGTGAGAATTGGCCCCTAAATTAAAGTGAGACCAAAAAAATCTTACTAAAACCTTTTGAAAGGTATTGTACATTGACAATCTCTCATCTAATTGATAATCAATGAGATAGAGAGCAGAATGGGAGAGGTTTACTATGTGCGAGACGGGCTGCCAGTATCAAAACAGCAGCTGTGCTACAGAAAATCCTAGACGCACGTCATCCATTAATAACTACACACATAAATCCCTCGATTCAGCATAAAAACAGAACTCCCGCGAAGAAGGAGTTTAAAAAGCAATGATCCAAACGTGGCGGTAATTGTGTTAATTCAGCGCTCCGAGTGGAATTCTCTTTCTGCACGCTGCTGTGGGCCGGAGAGACTGTTGACTGTTACGGAATTCCTGGTGTGGTTTTTATGGGCTTCCATTGAGCCGAACGCTTCCACTATTCCACCCATAAACTTCCTGCTCGTTCGCGCATGTTGTTTTTAACTGGAGCTCAATTCAGGCCAGATGTGGAGCAGCCTGTCAATCTTTTCATTTATCAGCTTATTTGCATGTAAGAGCATTGGATGACAAGATGGGCAAGTGGATGCCAAAGTGCACAGACAAAATGATTTACAATCTGAATGAGGTAACACCACACAGGCACAGCAATCCCAAAAATCCTAGAGCAAAATGGTCCAGTCAGGATTTGGCCTGTGGTAACAGCCAGTGAGATTTGCCTTGGCACAAACACCGATGAGGGTGAACACAGAGAGATTCCTTCTACCGTCTGTGGGATTGTGTGCCATTATAGACACGCTCACTGCAGTGACTGATGATGCCAATCTCTCACTGCCACCCAAAATGCCATGTGAGAACAGAAAAAAGTCCCATCTTAAATGGCTCAGCTTGCTCTCTTTTTTTCTTTTTCTCCTTCTCAGAGGCTGGAACTCGGTCAAACATGCCTTAGCGCTGACGTGGGACGGCTATGGGAACATGTTTTCATACCCAAGGCTCTTATTCTCTGCGAAGAGCTTTACTGGTGGGCTTATTCAAACAGGCGGGAGAGAAGAAATGCTAAAACTTGTAAAAACTCAAATGTACCAGAACACTGCTGTTGAAGTACTATGATGCATGAGTGTTTAAAATACATTTAATCCAATAACAATCATTAGGCATTAATGAGGTCGATGTAAAATATCCGTTTATTTTCCTACTACAGTTATTCAATGCCATCCATAAACTCAACCAAAATGGGATAGGCTCTTTTTTGAATTATTGTTAAAACCTGTCAGTTTATGAATCATCAGCATGAGAACGCCTGGACAAAAAAAAAAAAAAACGTTGCTGTTAAACTGATCTTGAATGGAGTATATTCAGTCATGTTCTTTAAAGAAAGAATAAAATCACAAGAATACATTACAAATAATACAAATCATTAGTTTAGGGAATTTGCATTTGATGAATAATTCATTCTAAAATATCTAATGAGTTGTGAGCAAAGCAAAATTAACAAATCATGAGAATGACTTGCAGAGAAAACAAACTGAGGGTGGGTTTATATCAGAAATGGAGGGGGATCTTAATGAAGGTATTAACTGCGCTGCAGACTCATCCTCCCTGAGAATATGATTTTATTATGAGTGCTGACAGTGGCCTTTCTTTCCCTATAAGAACATTTCAATCTGATCAAATTGAACAAGATAGCTTGGCATAGGAGGAGTTTTATGTATGGTACTTTAAAACAGGGGTTTTCAAACTTTCGGAGACTCCGAGGGGGCTGGAAGGGAGTACTGGGGTCCATGGAAAAGTTTAGGGGAGAAAAAACTGTGTAAAAAATGCAAAAATAATAATACAGAGAGAAAATAAACAAATTAAAATGGATTAAAATACATCAAATAAAAGATATTAAAATAATAATAAATTGATTTAATAAATAAAAGTACAGTATTTTTAGTAGACAAAAAACAGTGTAAAAGAACATAAATATTTCCCACATATTATTTTCCACTTATTTCAATACATTTTTCACAGTATAACTGGGGTCTTTATAGGCAACATGAAAATATATACAATAGCTGCCTTTTGAAAACCCTACTTTAAAAGAGAGCACAATTACTTTTGTTTAGGGGGAAAATCGAATAAACTGATCATTATTATTATTATTATACAGTTCAGGTAAATTACCTTAAACCAGACCTATAGCACAACACACAAATGTGTACCATTTATTAAGATTATGTTCAAGTTGCATCATTTACTTGTACTCAAAACACTAGGACTACTTTCCGTGGAACACAAAAGGAGTTAGGCAGAATGACAGCTTTAGTCACCATTCACTTTCAGTGTATGATGCAAAAAGATGCAATGTTAGTGAACGGTCATGAGGCTGTCATTCTGCCCAACATCTCCTTTTGTGTTCCAAGGAAGGAAGAAAGTTGTACAGGGTTGGAATAATGAGTAAATGATGACAGAATGCTCATTATTTATATATATATAAAAAAAAAACTAGCCTATCTCTTTAAGGCATCTGCTGATGGCAAATGTATAGCCTATCTGTGTGATCTCCATCAGGGAGATAATAGCGTCATATCTACAACACGAGATAATGCACGTGTTTCTATACATTCAAATCGATTTACAAACCTAAAATCATATTCATTTTTTTAAATTAAGACATTACAGTGGGTTTTGTTGGTTTGCTTCAGTCGGCCTTAAAGGCTTATAGAAGGGGGAGGGCGCAAGTGTTAACAGTTTTATAAAAGGGACAAGTGTTAAAAAGAAGCAATGCCATGAATAGGCTATTTGGACAATGTGAAATTAATTTAACATTCAAAACAATGTAAAAATACTTCACGATACGTTGGCGGTTGAACAATTCAGTCTGGGGCAAAGGAAAAATATCCTGGACGATTCAGTAGCGCCGCAGACAAAGGAATGCACGCGCAGCTCAAACTGCTGCATCACCTCATTTCAAATGCCTTCACTTTGATTCATTCAGACGCTTGTCAACTCACTTACTGAATAACCGGAATTAATTAAGTCCAAAAGAAAAATATATAGGTCTATATATGTATATTCACATATAGCCTATTATTATCCAGGAATCCCACCACAAAATCATCATTCCGGTTCATGCCTATTATTATTATTGAGTGGCTTTTTGTTTCCATGTGTGGGAATTAGTGATTTAAACCTGGGAATAAAACCGCCATGTCATTCATAACCAATTCACTTTTAAAAAAAAATATATATTTTACAGATATTTGTCTACAATAACAGAGAAGAGTAGGCTAATCATTACGTCGCATTCACGAATGCGCGCTCGCGCTTATTCTACATCCACCTCTGCCGGTGTCCGTTAAATTAGTCGTATTATTCAAGGCGGAACTTAACGAGATAATGCGAAACACCTGCATCATAGAGTGCAGTTCATCGAGTTTGTTCATCATCATTGAGGGAAGACCGGAGATCCAGCATTCCAGCGTGCGCGCGCTGAAAACGCTCCCTCGTTCCTTTAAATGGTAGTCGAGACGTTTGCATTGGCTGCTGAACCAAATAAGGCTCGCCGTCCCTTACACAGCAAATATGCTGCTGGTTTTATGGGGATTAATCAGAGTGTGTAATGCAATGGCTGTGGTTTACATCAGAGATGTGCTGCGCAGAACAAAGACAGCTTGCTTCCAATTTTTACAACCCACTGCAGTAGCCTAAGCACATTTCCCAACCAGCCGTGTATTTTTAGCCGATTGCACTTTGAAACAGAGATGAGCTGATACATGCAGCGCCTGCTCTCTAGATTAAACCCTCGTGTGTAATTCTAATAATAATAGATAAATAATCATGATTTTAAAATCAAATCAAGTTAAGAATATTAAACGTTGCGACATTTATTAAACTACTGTGATGAAAAAACAAAACAAGAACCCACTTTAATTCTCAACTCCTCCATTCATTGGGAAGGAAAGGAGGCGGGAATCTACACCGGGGGTCTCCGTCGTTGTTATGATCGGTCAAGGCCGAGTGACAACTTCTTTTCTTTAAGCGAAAACAAGCCATGCCTGACCCCTCCTCCTCCTCCCCCCGGGATCGCAGTGCATCCCACTACTAGCAAACACACTCAAACTATTGTCACTTCTGCACAACAGGATGTGGTAACATTACGTTAAAACGGGAGTGTGTTTTCAGCTAAAGTAAACCCTGGCAGGCATGCGGTCTAGCTTTTTCCCTTTCTGTGATATTTGCCTATATAGCGAGAAACAAAGCCTCCAAGTACTGTGAAAGCCCACTCAAAAACACAAGTTTGGCTCTCCGTTTCCATTTACGACAGATGAACCACATGTAACGCATGGATAAAATAATAATAATCATGCAACTCACCTTCAGCCTAGTTTTTTTTTCCCCTTGTGATGCAGCCCTTTTGTCCGTTTAGCAATTTTTTTTTTCTCACATGATGACTTCCTTGCAGACTCCTAAAGTCCCCGGGCTGCAGGGAGATCACGTTTTTGCGGTGCACTCTTACAATAATTATTTTTCTTTAAGGAAAAAAAAAAATCACGTTTATGGTTGTAAAAGTGTTTATAAAAACGCGTGTGTGTAAATGTGTGTGTGTGGTGATCTCTGCAGCGTGCGGCTCCGTCTCCTCTGTTTGTTACACTCGAATGAAACGCCTACTCTCAATCGCTACATTGTTGACATTCGCGCACTGACGTCACCCCACCCCTCATTCACAACAGCGCTGCGCATTGCGTTGCTGCCTCCAGTGGCAAGGCACTTTACTCCAAATATATGTGCGCTGCCGCGGTGTGTGTTCCGACGCCAATTTCACGAGTACAGGCTGATCCTAGACGAGGACTGGGACACACGTCTTGAGAGACTTTCACATAGAATACATACAGATTGAAACTGACATGCGGTTTGAAATGCGGTAGGCTACATAATTTTCTGTTATTGTGTTTTCGCTTTTTGTAATACCCCTTAAAATAAGTTTATTAAAAAATGGTTGTGTATGTATATATATATATATATATATATATATATATATATATATATATATATATAGCCTATATATATATCTTTCAAAAATTATGATATCATATGATCATATATATATATATATATATTATGATCATATGATATCATAATTTTTGAAAGATATATATATAGGCTATATATATATATATATATATATATATATATATATATATATATATATATATATATACACACATACACACACACACACACACACACAGTAGTGGCCAAAAGTGATGTCCAGAGGGGATTGGTTTGGGGATTTATTTTTAATGACCCCTACAAGTTTGATTAAATCATCAAAATATAAGGAAACTACTTTATTTTTTTTTAATATGAGGGCGGACTAAAACTAAACTTGGTTAAGGTAGGCCTGTTTATCTGACAAAATTATTTTTGAAAGATAATTGTTTTTAATTATTTTAAAAGGCAACAACTACATGTTTTTTTGTTGTTTTTTACAGCTACATGTTTTATTTTACTACGCAAAAAAATAATAGAAAAACTTAAAAAAAAAAAACTCACAGCAAAAAGCATTAACTACAACACGATTAGTTATTAATATTTCATTGGTTCTCTCTTGTTTTTGCATGCGTTTATAATTTCTTTGTATGGCAGCCCAAAAATGATGTCAGTACAATTTGCCATGTTTCATTGTGTTATTACAAACAAAACAAATGACTAAGCACAACTATGCAATATGTTTACAAAATCCAATTTTATAATCATTTGAATAAAGGGTGAAGTCAGTTTTCCTAGGCCGAACATCACTCTAGGACTATGTTGTGATTTCGCTTTTTGTAATATCAAATTAGTCTATTAAATACATTTTTATTTGTTTTACAAGTGAATATTTTTTAGTGTTTATTTAGTCAATTAAAATATAGGCATATCTTCAACTGTTGGTAAAAAAAAAGCAATTGAATATTTACACTGTTATTGTCTTAAATAAATAAAGTAACAAAACAATTCAGGCAATGCAAATAATACATTTATAAGATAAAGCAAATGTGACAACTTGCCCTGTCCTGATATTCATAAAAAAATGCTCCTGTCCTGTGAAGTTCAATCTTTCAGTTAAAATCTATCTTCATTGGTTGACTCTTGAATGAATTTATGCCAGTGTGATTTCATTGTGTTAGTTGTATTGCAAAACATATGAAAATGTTAAAAGTGTTTTAAATCAACATACAAAATACATACAAAACACTGGTATACAAATAGTTATTATCAATGCAATAATAATAATAACAATAAGCTATATTGATTGTTTTAAACATCCAAGTAGAGAGCTGAGATGACTTTGTGCATCAGTGACTTTGTATAAGCAGCACATAATTCCAGCATGCATTGTGCCAAACCATCCTACTTACTGTTTGTACAAGAGCGCTTCAACTGAAAATATTCTCATTTCTAATGTAGAATCCTTCCCCTAGGGAGCATGCATGTAATTATGAATTATCTAGCCGCCACAGACAGTTAATTTGTTTTTCTTATTTTATAATTCAGGACTCCCCATCACAATTTGAAATTTAGCGTACACGAAATTGAGCAGTTGCTTGATTTTGAAAAGAAATAGAAAGTTATTAAATAAACAAACAAACTGAATATAGCTTCTGTCTATGAAGTGTACTTATCAAGTTAACCTTTTCTTCCACCTTAAGAACATCATCTAGTGCTCTTAACTTAATAATATTCAAGTTATTGTATGATTCCCGAGCAAAATAATCTAAATGTAATCTTCCACACTGCACCTTACATAGATACAAAGCATTCCTATTAGTCTTTTTTATTGAAGGATCAGAACACTTCAATCATTTATGGTGTTGACTGTTGCACAAGAAACATTTTACAAGGATAAAATATACACATACGAAAGTGTCAAGGAGTTCAAGAAGCATTCCTGCACTTTGTGACCTTTCCCTGTGGTCTTCTCCCAGGGGCCCCACAGTGCCGTCGGATTGACTGAGTGACTGATTTAAGGCAGACCATCAAAGTCATGGGACTTTAGATTCCCACCATCGCTCTATAGTGACAAACAGACAGGTATAGGGAGAACAGGCGAGATATACTGTAGCGTAGACTTTGCAGTTTGGACGGGGCCATTTATTTCACTAACTAACTAACCTACAAGTGAGAGAAAGTGCCCTCACTGGTGCTAAAACCAAAAAACACCAAATCTTCCCTCTGCAATTACCACTTCAACACCGTGTCATATCTAAGGCTCAAATGAAACGCTTGCGGAATGAATTTCTCTAAACCTCCTCAAGCAAGACAGTGGACAAGCACTGACACGTATATATGCAAATGTATATGGTAGAAAGCACATGTTCATATACATATGCAATTTAAAATAACGGTTTTCTTTGAATATATTTTAAAACGTTATTTATGCTTGTGATGGCAAAGCAGAATTTTCAGCATCATTACTCCAGTCTCAAACAATAATGAAAACATTGTGCTGCCTAATATTTTTGTGGAAACCATGGTCATTTTTTCAGGATTCTTTGATCTTAGTTCAAAGCAATATGCAATCATATGGAATTTATGGAATTGTACCATCCGTACAAAACCTACTGGGAAGTTTCTAATACTAAAGATCTTATTTAGCTCTGCAGGACAGTGGCCTTCTAGGAGCAGGATTGTACACAAGCTTAAAGTTATTTTTTATATAGCGTATCGGAAAGGATCATCAGAGTTCTATACAGGAAGAACTGCTAAACAGTTGCATGAAAATGGCTAAATAAGTGGTTTTATTGTTCTGGTTGAAGTTCGCAGAGGTACAGCGCAATATCAGACAACATGTCAAATCCCGCAAGCTGCCGAAAGGGATGAGTCATAACAGTAAGGACTGGTGTAAAATCAAAACAGGCCCCCTGAACCAGTCGAATGCACAACAGTCGGCCACACTTGATGACTCATTTCGGAGAAGATTAATTGACTTTGCGGTCGCTGCAGTGCAACACGGTGCCAAATGACATCCCTATATTGGCTTGCTAAGGTGCGAGGCAAGCCCCGACAGAGGCACAAAGACGTAAACTCAGAGGCCAGCCAACGAAGCAGTTCAAGCCAAACGCTTTGATTACGTCAATCGCTGCTTCCCCCAGCAGAGCCTCGGGGAGCAGGCTAACCGCCATTCACAACACAGACACCACACAGATATTAACAACAGCTCAGGTTACCTACAGGACAGGTAACACTTCCCCCCTGAGAACACTGCACATCTCTGTGCACACAGGACGTACACTTTCACCCACACTCTTACATATACTTCATTCACGTGCAGGCTTACAGAGAGAGAGAGAGAGAGAGAGAGAGAGAGAAAAAACAATAAATAGAAGAGATTGTTCATTTTTTATAGTCAAAAACTGTCAAGCTCCAAAAGGGCAATATACTATACTTCTGAAGTTATACAATAGATTAAATCCAAGTCATTATCCACTGAATATTTTGACCTTTAATTGGCCTGTTCATGAGAGAAGTAATGCCTGATTTGTGAGAAAATCATTTTTTTTGAATGGGATCTTTTCAGGTAATCCAGTTCACAAACCTGATCTGAATGATTTTGTTCGATCTGGTCCTTGAGTTTAACTTATACTGCAGTGTTATTTTAATACCATTTATATACTATTATAGTAAATTTTAGCCTAGTAATTAGCTTTCAATTTTAGTTATGTGCATTTGCCATTTAAAAAAAAAAAATATTTCTAGCTTTATTTGTATTTTAGTTTTAGTAATTTTAGTACTTTAACTTTAAATTTTCTTGCCGTTTAAGATGCACCTGCTTCACTGGAAAGCAGAAATGAAATCAAATAAATTATTTTATTTTATATTATATTTTATTTGAATGCATTTCATTTTATCTCAACTTAGCTTACTTTCAGTTACCGCAAGCCGTCCCCATTCATTGCGACAGCAAGGAAAACAATGACCAGCACATTATTTAAAATTTATGAAGAAAGACATGAGAGTGAGTGAATGATGACAGAACTTTCATATTTGGGTGAACTAATCCTTTAAGCTTCGCTTTTGGCAGGGGTCTCTTAAAATTCTGGACAGAAAGTTGTTACTCTGCAGAACATCTTCAGACATTCAGATGAAAGACAGAACTTCCATGCTTGACAGGTTGTTATTGTTCATTTGTCAGCTGAGGCCAAGAGTGTGTGTGTGTGTGTGGTTAGTTAAAGGTTGTTTTAGAGTTCAAACCTGAGCCAAACCAATAGTTTTGTTCTTGGCTTTAGACACTGCGTTTCTTGATCAGCCACATCTTGTACTGAGAGCAAACCAACCAGTCAAACAATAACAGCATTGTGTTTACTTATTTAGCTTAGTGATGAGGTTTATGTGAAAAATGAGAGTGCACGGAAAAGGAAATTACATTTGTATTAGATTTATCAGTGATGAATCATAAGAAAAATCTTGATATCAAAATGTTTTTTTCTCCAGGAGGATACTTTCAAAATGCATGCACTCGTTTTTTGTAAAAAAAAAAAAAAAAAAAAACAGATACCAGTTGGGCATTCTAAAAATAATAACAGCACATGAGTGCACTAAGATCAGCGTAACAAGAGATCTAATCTATTTGTACACATTAGAGAACTCTGCACACTATAATGAAGTGCAGAGACAGGAACAATGGCCAAAAAAATCCTTCGTGC